AGTTTAGTTTGAAAATACCAACCCAGTGTGGTATTCATAATGATGTCATCATAATAGGAACTTCTATAATCACTCTTAACAATTGACTAGCTTTCAATGATTAAACATAGCTCTCAAACTCATAAACAACCGTCCTACTTTGAAAATTGTAGTATGTTTATCTATCTTGATTTGTGTACTAACTAATTTTGACTCCATCTAAAGCCTCATAAAATAAAAATAAACTTAAATAACAGAGAAAAATTTTTGGGGTGTTAAAATCATGACTCATCCAAACAATAAAACACATGTGACTTTAGGTAATCTCTTTTAGGGAATTAATTCTCCATAATTTATTTGCATATGCACAAAACTTTAACAGGTGACTAAGAGACTCATGTCTGTTGGACATCAAATAGCATAAAATATCATACAATTATGTTGTAAGTTCACTTTTAGTGGTCAGATATCTTTTATAAACTTATTATATCAGAAGTAATATATAGGTCGAGAACTATATTTTATTTTATTGGACAATGAGACAGTTAAGGATGGATATGCCTTTTCTTTAACTTATTTTAGGAATGATAAATTGTACCTTAATTTTAACTATATAATCACCATATTTAGAGTAAATTCATAAAAGTTTATTTGGTGACATTCTACCATTTAGTCATATGTTAGAAATCTACGATGTATCTTGAGGAAGAAATTTTCATTTAATAAAATCAAAATCCCATCCAAACCATTCATGAGTATAAGTGTAAAAACTCAGGTAGGATAGATGTTGGATTTTAGGTCTAATCACAATTCTTAACTTGAGATAGTAATTATTGTTTTTATCAAAATATTCACACGATACCTCTTTTTAACTTCTTTATCAAACTTTTCTTTAGCAATGCCTTACCTGATGTAGAACCCATAATTAACATGTAATTTGAACCTACACACACAATGGATGAGGAACCTGAATTAACTTGCAATATGAATCCATATATACGCTATTAACATGGAAACTTCATCTATAAATAAACTATCCATACTTAACTTACAATCAAATTGTGATTACAATTTAAATAATTGAGATAAAAGATAAATGAATTGATTAAAATACTGTAAGAATACCTTGATAAGTTGAAATCAATTTAATAAATGAATTGATTAAAAATCCATAAGAATATCTTGATAAGTTGAAATCAGTCTTTGATACAATTAGAAGGTTGAAGAAATCCTCCGTAGAAGTAAGCTAGTCGTTCGCTACATTTTGAATAACTTTATTGATTTTTTGGATGCATTAAACACTTACAATATGGTCTATTCATAGGAAAAAATCAATAAGAGTCATAATAGAAGAAGATAAATTTAAAGTAATATTCTTACCTGATAACAAAGACTCTTGATAACAACTACTTCTAGGTGATAAGAACGTTACTTAAATAATAAATTCCTCATAACATATTACATAAAATAGAACTCTTTATTACTTCATTTGGCTAACCATGACTTGTAGGATAATAACTTTTTATCGTTCATGAAATTAAGGTTGGAAATCCAACCATGTCTTCTATAAAGGGTAAAGATTTTTTATGGATTGGTTTCCTTGATTTGTAAAAGAGTAAGGGATCTTTATTCTTTATGATATTGAGGTTGAAATCTGACCATGATTTTTTAGGATAAAGAATCTTAATTTTCGCATGTTAAATATGCTTTAGGAGAGAAGTGATTGACATCGATTTTTTCAAAAAGAGTGATTAACTTCCAAAAGTGGAATACCCTAGAGTCCTAGACTTTAAGGACTCTTTTATAAGATACTAATGGTCGATTACTTATAGAAAATTTATAAAATATTTGATCGACATACTGTAGAACTCTTTATTGACCGATTATGATGAATTGTAAATTGATAAAAACTCTTGTGAATGAGCTACCGAGAGTTCATTATTTGTAGGACTTTAATGCTTAGTTTCCATGAGTTATAGGTGATTGATCCGCCTCTCCTAATAGGTTGATGCATTAGGCCTCTATCCATTATGGGTCTCCAAATTTGACCCAAGTATTCTTTCTTTATTGATCCACTCTTAGACATAATTTTAAAAGACTTACTTGAATTTCTTGTCCTAAAATCTTGTGATTGGTTCACTTAATATAATAATATTCTTTTCGTGTGCCTCAAGTCCGTCTTGAAG